TCAAAAAGAAACAAAGGAGGAAGAAGAAGCATGACTATTTCAAACTTTTAAGGAAATGATTGCCAAGCTTCGGGTGAGTATTTCTTTTAATGAAATTTCAAGGAGGAAGTTCATGAAGGAATTCCTATGTGGTAAAAGGAAAGAGATGAACGATAAACATGTGGAGGCTTCAGACAAGTGAAATTTTTATATTGCACATAAATATCCCTCTTAAGCTGAAGGATCCGGGTAAGTTCATTATTCCTTGTAATATTAGGAAATTTAAGTTTCCATATGTTTTATGTAATTTAGGATCACGCAACAATTTGATGCGCCTTAAAATAGCTAAGGTATTAAATTTGGAAGAGCCATATGGAATATTAGAAGATGTTTTGGTATGTGTCGATGGTTTAATTTTCCCTGCAGTTTTTGTAGTGGTGGACATGAAAGGAGACACTGAGAATTTTTTAATTCTCAGAAGGCCATTCTTGGGAAATGGTAAGGACTGATTGATGTGGAATCAGGGGAGCTCATGTTACAGTTTAACAACGAGTAAGTCATTTTTAATGCTTGTGAGTGGATGCAATATGCAAACAACTTGGAATCAAGTTACCAAGTTGAAGTTAAAGGAAAAAAACATGATGAAAGAATGGATAGAGGACTTGTGTATAGCGTGAGGGAAGCTTTTGCGCCTGATATACATTAGGCATTAACCATCAAGATAATGACAGTAAAGAAGCGCTTGATGGGAGGCAACTAATCAGAAAGTTTATTTTAGCAAAATTTTCAATTTCATGTTATTTGAGTTAATCATGTTCTTTCTTTTATTTTATCAAAATAAAAATGGGCAAGGGAAACATAAAGAGTAACATGGATAAATTGGAGAAGAAAAGAAGGAAAAATGGAACATCTATTGGAATTATCACGTAGGGCATCACACGCATGATAAACCTGCATCACACATGCGATGGCAGGTGCATGCACGCGAGAATAATGTTATGGTCGTTATTTATTGGAGATGTCTATTTGAAGTGACCGTTGAGGGTGTTCAGTTAGCATTGTGTGCGCAATGCAGCCTATGACACACGTGATGGCTTAAATGTTTCCTATAAATGGCAATTTTTAGACCATTCTTCCTCACAACATCTCCTCCGTCATTCTTCTTTGCTTAGATTCTTCACTGATACATCATTTTCAGTCTATAGTTTTCTTTTCTTATGCAAAGTAACAAGTTCCGGGATTCTCTTAGAAGTGAGCAAAGTTTAAGTTCGGGGTTGAGGAACTAGAGATATTGGAAAAAAAATTTAAAAATTGTGAAAAAAATAAAGAAGTCAAAGTAACTTCTTCAAAAAATAGAAATTGCAAAATGCATAACGAAGACCTAAAAAATTCTAAATATCTAGTACCTATAATAAGGAAAAGATTTAGTGTGATAACAAAAGGAGAACCAGGTACCTAACTCCAAATATTTAAACCTTCTTTCCCAAAAATATCCTATATAAAAATAAGCCACATTACAACCGAAAAAAAACACTCAAGTGTGTGTGATTTGATTACTTTGATAAATTTTATTAGAACACGATCAAAATCAGTATAAGAAGTTTTGCATGTTGATTGTGAGATTACCCTGTCAATTGAGTGAACTATAGTGAGATGAGAGACATGTTGAGTACTTGACAAGGTTGAAGTTAGAAACTAGAAGATGATCAGGTAAAACAAATATTATATGGTGATTTGGAGCGCATTTGAAACCATTGGAGGCCAGATCTTCAAGGACTTTCTTATGTAATCTTCTTCTTATTATTTGGTATTGTAATTGTATCAATATGAGTGGCTAAATACTATTTAGTTAGGTTTTGTCTGATGATCTTATTTTGAATCGGTTGGAACATATGTTTAATTTGATATTGTGTTATTAATCTTAGTTATATTTCTTTTTAATTGCTTTGTTTATTTAACACACATTATTTGAGATAATCTGTTAATGTGATCATGGATGTAAAGGGAATACTGAGCGTTAGCCTATGTGTTTGAACTAGAGAAATTATTGTACTTATGTCGATTGAATAAGGATATGAAACCTCTAGTAGTTGAATTAGAATTAATGTATTGTTTCATCACCTGATTTAACTTACGCCAGTTGAATTGGGATGTGATACCTCTAGCTAGTAGGAATTAGTGAGTTATACGCAATGGATTGAGTATAATGGTTTTTTTAATTCGCCGTTGAAATATAACGATGTTTCATTCATGTGATGCATTAGACATCCACAAGAGATAAATAAGGGATTCTAAGCAAAACCTGACCGCTTTCTCATTATTGTCAGAACACTTTTATTTTCGCACACGCAAACTCGAAATCCCTCTCCTTTGTTACTTTTTAAACATTACACAATATTTGTCTGGTTAAATAACAATCCTTGTGGAAACGATCTAATTTATTACTTGGACACTATTTATACACTTGTCGAGAAGTTTAGTATTCGTTCTCACTTAGTGGGATAAGACTTAATTTTTATTGTTTGGAATAGATAAAATTTAAATAAAATGTGAAAGAAAGAATGAAAGAATAACTGTAATATTTGAATACATTATTATTACATACATATTAGAAAGGAACATTTAAATCTATTATATATATATATATATATATATATATATATATATATATATATATATATATATATATATATATATATATATATATATATATATATATATATATATATATATATATATATATATATATATATATATATATATATATATATATATATATATATATATATATATATATATATCCATCAAATTGTGTTTTTTATCCGCTTGTCACATCTACTTTATTTGTGCTACATCATTTCATAGTCATATATGTCACTTCTAAAAACTTTATAGTTATTTAAGTTTGCAAATCTAAATTACGGTAGTCACTGTCAATTTTCAAATATGTAATTTTCTTTAAAATAAGATGTATTTTTTATATGTTATTAATTTGTAGAATTTCCTCAATTATAATTAACAATACATTATTAAAATTTAAATTTAGTATTCATATTTTGTCAAGATAAATTTTTAACATATTTAAAATTCAATAAAAAATGAATAAAATAATTTATTACCTTGCAATGCAGAGGTCTTAATCTAGTTGTTTATTAAATATAAACTAATAAATTAAATGTTATGAGAGGTTATATTATGATGACAACGAGTATATATAATATGAAAAATGTTATTTTGACACTAAATTCTTATATTTATATTGGTCTTCACAAATATGATGAATAACAATATTTATAATTTTGATTTTTCTTTAGATTTTTCTCTCTCTAAATTAGTTTTGGTTAATAGTACACAAAATTTTGATTAATACAATTTTATAGTTTGTTGAATACCATGTGTCTTGATAATAAGTTGTTTTAAATGAAAAAAAATAAATATAAAACTGATTAATTAAGTGAAATAAGTTAACTAATAGTAGTTTATAATTTAGTTATTGAGTGTCCCGACATCAAAAATAAAGTATTATGGGGTAAATCACTTTATTTAATAGTATATGTAAAGTTGGTTAATACAATTTATAATTTAACTAATAAATTTTCAAATTTAAAGAGTAAAATAAAATTGATTAATGAATCGTAAAACTTGATTAGTACATTTCATAATTTAATGTCTTAAAAATAATTAATATTATGTATTTTATTGATTAATGCAATAATAAATATGGTAAAAAACAATATTAATGCAATAATAAAAGATTATGATAGGGAGATGGTAAAAAACAATGATACATTAGAAGCACCTGATTGTCCATCAGTTCAGAAAAGGAAAAGGAAAAGACAAACTATTTCTAAAGAATTGACTCTGGGAGATAAAGTTGAACCTGTCAGAATAAGATCCACCTTTAAAAAATCTATAGAAACCCTTATAGAATGGGTATCTCTAATAGAACCAACTTCATGTGATGAAACACTTCAGGATAATGGATGGATTCTGAAAATACAAGAAGAGCCAAATCAATTCTCCATAAATGATGTCTGGGATCGAGAGCCTAAACCAAAGAAACTCACGTTATTGCAGCCAAGTGGGTGATCAGAAATAAGATAAATAAAAAAGGTGAAATCATCATAGACAAGATACACCGGGTTATAATTTATATGTTTTCTAATGAAGTACTTCTCAATACTTCTACTAGTTAAAAGATATCTTGATTAGAAACTTCTTAAATAAAAAAGAGTATATATATTCTAAAACCATGAGAGTACCAGCCTTGAAGCAATGTAATGCCCTTGAGAATAGGTTAAAACATCAATGCTTATCTCTTGTCTTTTGTTCATTTAAGAAAAGGTCAAGATATTCTTTTATATAAAAAATAGGAATCTTTAAGCATGACCCTTTATTCCTAGCCTAGTTTGTTGTCTTATATTCCTTTATCTGACAAGCGTCTTGGAAAGGATTGTATTCTCTATTATTTTTTTGTTCTTGTTTAGACATTAACTTTTTTAGTATCTCGAATTTGATTATTTGCGTAAGGAAATTAATTCTCCTGTCAGTCTTGCGTAACTGTATTTCATCAAGTGTTCATCAATATTGTTAATAACATATTTTTAATTAATGCAATAATAAATATGGTTAATAATACAACCTTTTATTTATATTATAATATATTTTTTTAAATACTTTTTATGAATAATATTAATTTTTTTTAAAAAGAATTGCAAAAAAGAAATACTATTCACCAAATACCTACAGTAAATAATATAGTGTAAGTTATCGTGTGGAAGTATACAGTGTAAGGTCGGCCTATATGGGTTGGATATAAATTGTACAACATAATTTTATTTAGAGTTTATAGATTAAAATTTTTATTATTTTTAATTAAAAATGATCTTTTAAAAAAATTTATAATCATGGATGTGGACATTTTTGTCCAATTTTTTCTATTTAAAGCATCGAGTTGCATACACTTTCCTCACACCAACCATTACTTTTTATTTCTTCTCTAGTTTTTCTTTTTCCAAGAAATGGTGCTCTATGGGAAGCTTAGTACTGAATTTGACATCAAAACATCTGCTGACAAGTTTTACAAACTGATAGCAACAGAACTTCACCAAGTGCAAAAACATTGTGAAAGAGTTCGTTATACCAAGCTGCATGAGGGTGAAGACTGGCATGACACTGATACTATTAAACACTGGACTTATGTCATAGGTAATTATATTTCTAACTCAATTAACATGTCAACACAAAAATCACATGGCTGGAAATTTTATATTTGTTGTAGTTTAATTTTTTTTATTTTTAAACATGGACTCTTCTACTTTTATTGAAGTAAAGATTCATGCCTAAATTATTTTCTACAAGAATATTAGAAATGTTTTTTTTCTTATTCTTGACATCATTAATAGATGGTGAGGTACAGACATGTTACGAAAGTATTGAAGAAATTGATGAACAGAAGAAAAGAAACACTTATAAGCTGTTTGGTGGAGATATTGGTAAGCACTATAAGACCTTTAAGCTCATCCTTCAAGTAATTACTAAGGCTAATGGCACTGCTGCTGCTAAATGGACCGTTGAATTTGAGAAAATCAATGAGGATATTCTTCCTCCAAATGGATGGATGGAATTGTTAGGCAAAAACACTCGAGACATTGATGCTCATCTTTCTAAGGCAAGGGTCGTTCTATAAATCATAAACAAATAAGTATTAATGGCTTAATGCATGCATATGAGGTTGACGTAACTATGTGTTCACCTTTATAATTAAATAAGTGTGACTTTGTAATGGCATATTATTGCCTATGTTGTTGGCTTATAATGGTGTTTCGTTTGATGTGTCTTTTAAAGACTGTTTCTATGAATGTGTGATACAAGTTAATAAAAAGAAATTTATGCTTTTTTAGTTTATACGAGTATTTGTTTGGATAATAACTTCCTAATAGCAAATACTTTATTCTTAGTCATGAACTCTTTACCGCTATTTATTTTATTCGTGCTCGTCATCTCTTTACCACTACTTTTTTTTTTTTTACGTGAAATCATATAAGTACAAAGTTTTCCATATATATATATATATATATATATATATATATATATATATATATATATATATATATATATATATATATATATATATATATATATATATATATATATATATATATATATATATATATATATATATATATATATATTAGACGTCCACCCGTGTGATGCACAATAAATCATATTAAATTATTATTTATAATTATTATAAATTAAAAATATATTTTTAAATAGAATTACATAATTTATTTTAATAAAAATGATGATGGTTAGATAGTTACACACAAAGATATCGAAGTTAGCAAAGATAAAATCATCAAATCTCTTTTTATAATGTGACTACTTTAATTAAAAATCACATAAAAAATAATTAATAAGTTAAATAAATCACTTTTAAATAATATATTTTACCTCAATTGAAAATAATTGAATTAAAAAGAAGATAGTATTGTGAAGTTAAAATAGAAGAAAAACAAAAACAAAACATCATAAATGATAGAAGAGAAAGTAATGATGAAAATTGTAGATTTTGATGGGATAATTTATAACTTAAGAAAATATAATTAATTTGTAATTCCTTATAGTGAGACTTAGATTTGTTAAGCATAGTTGGATTTATATATATGTTAGACAAATACTTGATTGTGACATCAATCTTTTTATAAGAATTATTGTGTAATGGTCAACCAAATATATCAATTATTATAATCTGTCTAATCAACTCAGATATTTGGTTCTAATTTAAAATATAGGTATAATTATTTTTTTAAGAATATAATTGTAATAATTAAAAATGAACACCAAGAATACAATTAATATTTAATACATGAAGCACAAAAATTAAGTATTATTTAATCTATAAACAAATATCATTTCATAGAATTTAAAGTTTCTAAACATTTAAAAAAGTTTATCTCCGAACACTTTTGAAGAAAATTCTTAAACTAAATATATTTTTGAAGCAAATTCATCAATTAAATATCCATATTATAGTGTCACCAAAATATTATTTTTGAATTGAGGCCTCAAATTTGTGTTTTTGATGTTGTATATTTTTTTAAAATACTATGTAATAATAAAAAATTAGGCCCCTAAAAATTTAAAACCTAATGCTATGTCTTACTGCACATGTAATGATTACACCTGTGAATTAAATTTGATTAGCTTTTGTTTATATTTGAGATAAAAATATTAACAAAATATTATAATTTTAAACCGTAAAAGAATAAGAATAATAAAAGTAATAAAGAATAAGAGTTTTTTAAGCCATCCTCTCCCATAATTAACTTTTCCAACAATTTTTTATATAATAAAAGTACATTTTATGATGTCAAAATTTATATATTTTTAAAATGAACACAATAACATAATTGAGTATATAAAAAAATAAAAATCTAAAATAAAGCACACAATATAATCATCATTCATATATAATTTCACTCACATAAATATTTCAATTCTCTTTCTTTCTTAATTCTTCTTTTGCAACAAATTTATACCTAAAAAAACATAACCCAATTATCCGATAACTAAAAAAATTAAGAATAAAAGAAAATAAAAGTAAAAAAACAAAGACAAATTACAAAAATATTAACAATAATGAGACAACGTGATTGAAGAATATCATAATTATATGTTAATCCATTTACACGATGTTAATCCTTGAAAAACACAAAATATATAAAATGATCGAAAATATACTTAAATTTTAAGATACTAAAATGATGGTTTTTCAAATACACAATATTAAAAAATAAATAAATAAATAAATAAATAAATAAATTTACCACAATTTTAGAAAATTAATAAATAAATTAATCTTTAAATTATGAGAATGGTTAATAATATATAAAATAAAAAATAAATTCTTAAATTACGAGAATGAGTGATTTTAATAAATAATAAATAAATAATAAAAAACAAATTAATATTAATAATTATTAAATTAACTTTAATTTTGACTCCAAAAAATTTCTTAAAAACTTAAGAACTTTAATTAATAAAAAATTTAGTGGATGTGGGAAAGACTTTTTAAATTCATGCTTTTGTAAAATTAATAAATAAATAAATAAGTAAATTATGAAAATGAATGATTTTTTCTACGGCCGCTGTCTCTGATAAACCGTTCAAGTTTGAGAGAGTGCATTTCAAACGAAAACAAAATTGAGATTTTTCTTAACCATAAAGAAGGTTGTCAATATTTTGACTGATGACATTCTTACTGTTCCTTTTGGATAAGTCGAACAAACTAATATAAAAAAAATCTATTGACTTAGATGGATTTTTAATTTCGATGAACATGAATTTACAACATAGATTAAAGTCACTACGCCAAAAAAGACCTAAGAAAGCGTTTTTTTCCCCTTTAGCAGCGCTTAAAAGCGCTCCCTATGGTGGCGCTGCCGTAGGTATAGACAACTCTTTTTTTTTTACGAAAAAGCACTGCCATATGTATTCTTTAGCAGCGCTTTTTCTATTGACCCCCTTTAGACAGCGCTTCCAAAAATGCTGTCTAATGTATTTTTTAAGGCATCTTTAGGCAGCGCTTTTCTAGGAAAAGCGCTTTCTAAAGTAGGCGTTTAGCAGCGCTTTTTCCTAAAAAGCGCTTTTGTTGCTTCACATAAATTTAAGCATTTTTTATGTAAAAACACTGCGTATTCTTTTTTTTTAGAAGGCATATTTTTGGGAATAATCCCATAAACCTGTACTTCAAGCCTTACATTTCAACGACCATTTATTTCAACAAAGAAACCGTTACATACAAAAAAAGGCATTATATACCATTATAATACCATTATATACCATTATATACCAAAATATAAACACCATTATAATTCAATTCACATGTTTGCTACTAAGTAGGAGGAGGATGCACTATAATAAGGACAAATTTATGACTATTTCGAACAACAAATTTATGACTATTACAAGAAAACCTTCTCTTATAAGAGGCAAAACAAACTCCAAGAATTTCGTATAAAGGTGATAGTACTCAAGTACAACAAAACCTTCTATTCGAATCCGCTTATATATGATATATACCAAGTTTGTTTCAACCTGAAATCGCCAAAATCCGACGAGCGGACGGTCCTGATCCTGCAAATAAGGTATGAACAAAACAACACAGTCAATTAAACTATCTTGGGTCCAACACAATTAAAATTTTTCATAACACTTTTCAACTTCCAATACCTTATATGATTCTTTTCTGAATAAAGTATTCACAAAATTCCTCCTTGATTTCTTCCAATTGATTTTTCATGTAATGAGCACACTTGCATTCATCAAAGTACTACATAACAAAACATAATATGCATGATTTAGTTAAAAGTAATAAATTATATGAAATATCCTCTAAATATTAAAATAAATCCTAAGTTATAAATCCATACCGTGATTGGAATCTCTATTCGATTCAAAAGAAGGATTTCTTTCATAAACCTCAAAACATAGTATCCGCAATCTATACTGTTACGCTGTTGAGCACAGTACATAGAAAAACAAATAAGAATGTATAATTGTCTTGTTTTATCAAGTAGCATCACTATTATAAGCAAAATTGTGAAAATTAATGTACTTCCACTTTGATCCATGTAATGTTGCTTGATCTAGACCGTGATACTCGAGCTTCTCTTTGAGAGCAGAATACTTCTATTGATCTAACAATGAAGAAAAAAATAAAAATTAAATGACAAATATAAAAATCCACTAAGGAAATATAAAAAAAATGAAATGGTAAACACCCTTACCTTTTTCACTAACGTCTCTTTCTTTTCTTGGTAGGAATATGTTCTACTCGTCTCTTAACAACACAGATGGTTGGATTGATCCAAATACCGTCATTATGATCATTTCTAATATATGATTCGTTCACTATAATATTCTCATATTCATCATTTCTAGTAAACGATTCAATCTCAACATCAATATCACCTTGATCTTCAATGTTTTCATCAATTACTTTTTTAGATAAAAGCACTATAGACCATTTCGTACTTGTCAGATCACTGACATAGAACACTTGTTTAGATTGAGAGACTAGAATAAAAGGCTCATCTTTGTACCCCATCCTATTAAGATCCACTTGCAAAAATCCTGACTTATCCATTTGTATGCCATTATTATTTTCAACCCACTTGCAACCAAATATAGGAATCTGAAACTTCTCATAATCAAACATCCAAATGCGCTTGATAACCCCAAAATATGACAGATTTGCAAATATAGGGTTTAAGTCCTTCACACTTGATATGTGCATTGCTTTAGCTACCAAGGTGACACCACTATTTTGCATAGTACTTTTATCATCTTGTCCTTTGATATAAAATGTGTATCCATTAATTGCGTATGCGCTATAAGAAAATACAACCAAACTTGGACCATATGCTAAACATCTCAACCTTTCGGTTATTGAAACGGGATCTGAATGACACTTTGAGTAAATATGTTCCTTAAACCATGGTATGAAACTTCTATTGTGCTCTCGTATTATCCAATTCCCATTTCTATTCGGATTTAAACCTCAGGAACACCCTTGTGCATTTCAACATACAACTCAACCTCAATCTCATTATGCAGAACATACAAATGCACTTGATCCCGTTCGACCCTTGATACTGTCACAACTTTATTTCCAATTAACTT